CCTTCTCACCCCATTTTACTCTTCCTGTTCGTTCTCGTTGTAGTTCCCCGTTCCAGCCATCCATACCCATCCTCCAGCCCCAATCCTCAACTCCCATTTTACCCATCTAAACCTCGACTATCAACCAAATACGCTAGCATGAATATAAATTGCTATGGCATACATATATGGCTTTTCACGTTGACCTCGACATCTGCCAATCAGTCGGCCACAATTTTGGGATGATATTATTTAAAAAAAAAAAAAATTGAAAAATTAAAAAAGAAAAAAAAAAGAGATAGATGAGGAAGACAAATGAATCGTAACGAATTTAATAGTTGGATTAATACAGGGTGGAACAATTTGTCAATTTGTTTTATCATTTTAATTTTGAATTTATGAAGTGATGATGCTGATGATGCTCATGATGATAATGATCATGATGATGATGATGATATTTCAAACGTCAAAAAGTAATAATAATAATAATAATAATAGAATTATTGTTATATATTACATTTCGTTGGACATTTGAAAGACATATGAGACACGTGTGATTAATTTATTATTAATTTATATTAATTATATAATTATTAATAAACAAATTGTATTACTTATTAAGATAGTATTAAATGTATGTATATATATATATATATATTATTATTATTTTATTATTATTATATTATATTATTATATATATATATAATACTAATTAGTTTATAAATTAAATAATAATAATTTAATACAAAATAATATTAATTTAATATTGCATGTATAAATAAATAATATTAATTATAATTTTTATATACAAATAATATTTCAATTACTAAATAAATAATATTACTAATTATGATAGTTATTAAATAATATAATACTAATTAATTTATATATATATTCGAAAGTTGATACTTTTTTTACTTTTTTTTTTTTTTTTTTTTAATTTAAAATATGTGAAATTGTTTTGTGTATTTGTGTGTGGAATGCTATATTAATGGATTGTATTTTTTTTTTTTTTGAAAATTGTTTATTACTGTCATGGTCAAATGTGAATGGAAATTTATTGAAAACTAAATGGAAATTCATTGGTTCGAATTATTTTGAAATGATTTTTTGAAAAAACAAATATATATATATATATATATAGATATATGTGTAACAGGAGCTTGTATTTTTATTGAAAAATTGCGTTATGGTTGTTAGAATAAAAAAAAATAATTAAAAAAATTTGTTAATTGATTTTCAATTGAATGTTGACGATCCAAAAAAAAAAAACACACGTGGATAAAATTTGATTAGAACGAAACTTTTTATTTATTTTTTTATTTCTTTTTCTTTTTTATCATATTTTAATTGAATTTAAAAAAAAAAAAAAAAAACAAGAGGATAAAAGTTAAGATCATCATCTTATTCGTTAATATTTCAAACAAAACAAAAAATGATTTGTCTATTCAAAGTTACAGAAAAGAGTCAGGGGGCTGAAACGAGTTGGCTTTAAAATTTGTGTATTTTGTACTTTTTTTTTTTTTTTTTTATTGAAGTTTATATTTAAGACGATGGAAAAGGAATGTATGAAAAGCTCTTGACTGAAAGAAATACATCTCTGTCGTATTCTTTTGAAGAAAACGACGTTACGAAGAAATGGAAAATAGTTTTTCTTGAAAGGAGTTTATATGAGAAAGAAAAGAAAAGAAAAGAAAAGAAAAGAATGAAAAAAGAGAGAGAAAGAGAGAATGTTTGGAGAATAACATAAACGTCGGTACTAAATCAAAGACATTTTATTTCAAAGTAAAATACTAGAATAAAAGCAAAGAAAAGTAACAAAAAAAAAAAAAACAAGGCAAAATTCCAATAAGAAAAACAAAATCAAAAACACCAAAATAATATCAAAGTGTAATTCTCATCTTTTATATTAAATTTTCTTCTAAGAAATCAAAAATGATTCGAGAAAATTGTATTTTTTTTTTTTTTTTTATAATAAATAAATATTAGAGAATTTGTCATTAATTAATTATTATAAAATATATATGTTAATAAATAATATAAAAATAATTAAAATAATTATTGTAAAATATATATATATACGTTAATATTTAATATTAAAATAATTATAATAATTATAATAATTATTATAAAATATTTTCAATTAAATGTTTCTTATAGAAACAAAAATCATATATCAGACAATTTTATTTAATTATAATAAATACATATACGAGATTATTTTTTCTAATTTGTTATAATAATTATTATAACAATATATGTTAATAAATAATATAAAAATAATTAAAATAATTATTGTAAAATATATAAAAAAAATATATATATATATACGTTAATATTTAATATAAAAATAATGATAATAATTACATATAATTTGAAATAATAATATTTTTGTTTATTAACACATTCCCTTTTTCTTATTCTTTTTTTTTTTTAAATATCATTATTTAAGTATTATATAATTAAATAATTAAAATTATATTAAATAATACTAACAATTAAATAATAATTTTAATAATAAAGTTGAAATTTAGAAAAATATATTTTAAATAATATTTTACCTTTCAATGGACATTGCAGTTAAAGTGACAACGGAACAGATGGCAGAAACGCTTTGCATGTAATGCACCGATTTGCATAGGAAGATACCCATTGTCCATGTATATGAGAACAATTTGGCAATCTGTAACAAATAAATAAATATTGACATTGATCGAATCATTTGTTTAATTATTAAAAAGATAAATTAATCTTATCAACGAGATTAATATTATCATAAAGTTTTAACTAAGTTCAAATATCAATTAATTCAATCAATTTATTCAATTTATTTTATATTAATTATACACTAATGTATTTTAAATAAAACAAAATAAATAATAATAATAATAATAATAATAATAATAATAATAATAATAATAATAATGAAAATGTAATTTAATTAATCAATTTAATTTATCGTCAGGGTTTCGTCAGGGTTGCGTCAGTGTTCCGTCAGGGATGCGTCAAGATTTTGTCAGAATTTTGTCAGGGTTGCGTCAGGCTTTCGCCAGAGTTTCATCAGGGTTTCATCAAGGTTGCGTCAGGGTTGCGTCAGAGTTTCGTAAGGGTTTCGTCAGGGTGCTGTCAGGGGTGCGTCAAGGTTTCGTCAGAATTTTGTCAGAGTTCATTAGGGTTTCGTCAGAATTTTGTCAGAGTTTCGTAAGGGTTTTGTCAGAGTTTTGTCAGGGTTTCATCAAGGTTGCGTCCGGGTTGCGTCAGAATTTCGTAAGGGTTTCGTCAGGATTCGGTCAGGGGTGCGTCAAGGTTTGGTCAGAATTTTGTCAGAGTGCATCAGGGTTTCGTCAGAATCTTGTCAGGTTTGCGTCAGGGTTGCGTTATTTTGTAAAAATAAAATATTTATGATAAATCAATACATAAAACGTTTAATATAAACTAAAAATATAAATATTCATAAAATTATAAAATAAAATATCAATAATAAACTAACATGTAAAATTAATTAATACAAATTAAAGATATAAAAAATAAAATAAATATATATTTTTAAAAATACCACTTATCCAAAGTTTGCAAATTAAATAAATAAATAAATAAATACAAAACACAAATATCTCTCTAAATATCTTTTTCCTTTTAAATTTACTAGATTTTAACTAGAAAGTAATTTTAGTAATCCTGTTTGATAACACGACGATAACATTCTAGAGAGACAGAGATGGAGTCCGAATTGTATTAAATGAAATTATGTCTCGACAAGTAGGAGGTACCATAAGCTGTTGTTGTTGTTGTTGTATAGGTACAGGTTAATGCTCACTCGATGAGAATTTATGATAGCATACTTGGCTCACGTACAAATAGAAGCTTGTTTTCGTCGGTTGGTTTGAGTTAGATGCCAGATAGAACTAGCTAGCTAGATTATGTTGTCTTTAATACTACGATAAAGCTGTTTTGCAAATCAATATTACGAAATCACACTTGATCATTTTATTTAGAATTTATTTAACATTCTATTTCAATGTTTTATTACATATGTTCAATAACAATAATTATTATTATGATAATACTATAAAATGTTGACACATTAAATCTCTTTTTAATATTAAATAAACACGTATTTAATATTTTTCAATATTTTGTGCTCTACTAGGGATTATTTAGTAAATTATAACAACATATAAAATAATACCATAATTAGAATGAAATAAATAAGATAATAATACAGGGAATAAAATAGTAAAAAGTAAGATTTTACTTTTTATTATTTAAATCTCGTTTATATTGAATCAATCGGTTTCAATCAAGTTTTATATTCATTCAAATATCTGCGAATAATCGATTCATCCATCATTGCTACTAGTTGGAAACTCTGACTTTAATTTAAAGCACACGTTTGCACTATTTCTATCTATCTCTCTCTCTCTCTCTCTCTCACTCTCTTTCTATTCGTCTTTCACTAAAATCTCAAATGTAATTACAGAAATAGTTGCTAAGGTATTCAATGCGTATTTGAATGTATATCTGTGTGTTTGTGTGTATTTGTTCCTCATTGTCAGTGATAATGCTTTTGTACTAGAAAAGGAAAATTACTTTCCTACAATTTAAGAACATCGTTTCTTCTTTCTTTTCTTTTTTTTTCTTTTTTTTTTTTTTTAACAAATTTGTAACATACATTAAAAATCAATTTAGTTAATAATAAATAAAATTGACTGATAGATAATTTTTACTTAGTAATATTTATCATAAATTTAAACTATTGCAAATGCAAAACATTTCATCTGCTATTTCTATAGATATATTTGTATAAAATTGTTCATCTTGACGTTTGAATATTCATCGTGTGATATGTAAATAAATCAAATAGAAAATGAAAAATGTTAATCCACATTATGAAAAGAGATGTAACGCGAGTAACGTGACAAGAAACTTAACATAAACGTTACCCACATTTAAAATTATTTCTCGTATAACGTTTGTCTTTCATGATTGTTTCTTTTACCAAAAAAAAAAAACAAAAAAACAAAACAAAACAAAACAAACAAACAAATGAAAAATTTGCCATATAATTGAATGAGATTTGAATTTCAATTGACAAATTGATCGAAAATGATTGCAATTAAAATTGAATATCTCTTAACGAAGATTTAAACGACGAAAACCTTTATCCCTAGTTTACAACTCCTAGATTAGGTGTCATTCTGTCCTCGTTAGTGAGTTTCTAAGAGAAGTATGATACAACATGGACTTTAATGACTATCATAATTCACATTTTATCATCGCTCAAATACAACTTGATTAAACGTATTTAAACTCGAGCTGATTTGTTTTCTTCTTATTTTTTTATTTTTTTTTTATTTTAAATGTTTTTAATAAGACGTAAGTAAGCTCGACCTTAGAAGATTATGTTTCATGTTTCATCGTTTTCTTCAACACCATCAACACCACACCTTTTACTCATTAACCCTCTCTCTCTCTTTTTTTTTCTTCTCTTTTTATTGCACTTCTTTGAATAAANGTATAAAAAAAAAAAAATCAAATTTTGTTTTCATATTGTAAAAATAAAAAATAAATTAAGGTCTTGTTTCTATAAAAAAAAAAAAAAAAAAAAAAAAAAAAAAAAAAATAAAAATAAAATTAAAAAAAAAGTTTGTTTTTTATTTTTCATCTCTTCGAGTCTACTTTTTCTTTCAAAGACTTTCTTGGGTTTTTTTTCTTTTTTCTTTTTTTTAAATAAAAAAAATAACAAGTTTTTCTATATCATAAAATGGATATCGCATAAAAAAGGTTAACGATGATATTAAGAAGATTTATCCTTAGCCCAATAAAGGTCGAATAACGTGCGTTATACTGTAATTTATGATAGTACACTTTCTTGCTTCTCTCATGGATTTGACTTTTATATAAAACACATTTCTTTGTATTTACATCGGTAAATTTCATTTTACTTATTTGATAACTTTCGAATTAAATATGTTATTGAATAAATAATTGATAAAATGATTAATTGATCATCAAACCCTGTTGTACACACCACCCTCCTTGACGTTTGTTTTAATACAACAACTGTTATTTGTTATTTGTTTGTTTTATTTTTTGATTTTTGATTTTTCATTTGGAAATTTTTCTTTTCTATTATACGTAAAGACGTTAACAAAGTTTTCTCACAGACACATATTATTTCATTGAATGAAAAATGACGAGAAGAGAAAAAAAAACAAACAAAAAATATATTTATTATGAAATTAATTCGTGTTTTCTTTTAGAACTGAAAAAAAAGAAAAAAAAAGGAAACTAGAGAAAAAGTTTAGAGAAAAATGTTTTAATAACATGAATTCCCTGATGGTTAGATGCATCCAAGGAAAAAGATAACTTTTTTTCAACTATTGTGTTGCATGCATACCACAAGCCAAATATAATATACGAATTTCTATGTGGTTGTTAAAAGATAAATCTTTCAAATATCTTATTAACCTGAAAACATATTTTTTTTCTTTTTTTTTTTTTTTTTTTTTTTATAGAAACAAGACCTTAATTTATTTTTTATTTTTACAATATGAAAACAAAATTTGATTTTTTTTTTTTTATACNAGTCTTTGAAAGAAAAAGTAGACTCGAAGAGATGAAAAATAAAAAACAAACTTTTTTTTTAATTTTATTTTTATTTTTTTTTTTTTTTTTTTTTTATAGAAACAAGACCTTAATTTATTTTTTATTTTTACAATATGAAAACAAAATTTGATTTTTTTTTTTTTATACACGATATTATTTTAAAATTAATTTATAATAATAATATTAATATAATATAAATTTAAAAAAATATTATAAATAATATTAATATTTTAAATATAAGTTTATATATTAATTATATATTGAAACAAATATTTGAGTATACGTAAAATTGTAAATAATAAATGTAAAAATAATAATACATAATTAAAAAAAATATATATACAATAAATTAATAATAATTGTAAAAATAATAATACATAATAAAATTAATATATATATAATAAATAATAAACATAAACAAAAAGTAGTCATACTAAAATCAAACGCATATTTCAATCATGTAAAAATAAAAACAATATAAAATAAAAATAAAAATATATTGTAAATGAGATCAAAAAAAAAAAACATCGAATTATTAAACTGAGTATGTTCGATAGTTCGAAAATTATTTAAAAAAAAAAAAAAAGAAAGGAACGAGAGAAAATGGGGTTGAAAATTAAAATCATTTTAAAGGGAAGCAAAACGGTATCATCAGCATCTCTTGAAAGTGAATACTTGAAAACGATTGGACGGAAAAGCGGCAGCTGCAGGTGCACTTATGCACGTATTTCCTACTCACATTTCTCTCTCTCTCTCTCTCTCTCTCTCTCTCTGTCTCTCTCTCTCCGTCTCTATCTCTTTCCCTTTCTCTTACTCTCTCTCACTTTTTCTTTCTCTACCTTTCATTAAAACGAGTATCATCACTTGGATCGTCAACGTTTATCGATCTTTTCTCATCCAACTTGTAAATAATGTCTTTGGAAAGTAATACATGTTGTCTGCAATACACACACACACACACACACATAAATAAACAAACACACAGACTCATCACAGCATTGTGTGAAAACTTGTGTGAAAATTATTCGTGATAAATGTGAATAATAATAAAACATTCGCATTTTGTGCATAAAA